TGCTTGCTAACTATTAAGGAAAATCGTTTTATGGGAAGCTCAAATATCGCACAGTGCTAACGGAGAGTTCAGTAAAAATTGATCAGTTTATAAAATTATATCAAAAGTTATATAACGTGAGTTAACATTCAAACCAAAGAATAAATCAGATTTTTCGCGATGTTTTAGGTTTGGCGTCATAAGTAAATTTTCAAAGACATACGTTTGTGGCCCGTCTTGTGTAAGACGATAAACTACATCTGCGTCATGGGTAACACGATAAACTACGTCCAGCAGCAAGACCTCTGAGCAGAGGATTTGAAGAGCGTGGAACCACCTCTTAACTGCATGTGTTCCCAGGTCCACTCTGACCCGGCGTGGTAGTACCTGTAAGGGTCCCAGCAATGGGCAAAGAGTTAATTATTACCAGCAATACGTTTTTGAAAAAAATCTTACCAGCAATGCAATTTTGTGGGAAAAATATTACCAAAACAAAATATTACCAGGAATATTTTTTTTTGGCATTAAATAACCCATTGAGGTTGATATGCCGTAAAACAAAATAAACCAAACCAATCTAAAGCAAAGAATACATATTCTATTCATACGAATCTATCCTAAAAATCTTGTCGGCATTAAATAACCCATTGAGGTTGATATGCCGTAAAACAAAATAAAGCAAACCAATCTAAACCAAAGAATACATATTCTATTCATACGAATCTATCCTAAAAATGTTGTCGGCATTAAATAACCCATTGAGGTTGATATGCCGTAAAACAAAATAAACCAAACCAATCTAAAGCAAAGAATACATATTCTATTCATACGAATCTATCCTAAAAATGTTGTCGACATTAAATAACCCATTGAGGTTGATATGCCGTAAAACAAAATAAACCAAATATGGCCTTGATATAAAAAGAAAATGAAGTACAAAAGAAAAGGAAAGAAACACAGTCACTCGTTTCAATTTCTTCGTCGTCATGGCTGTTCTTATGCCTGCCTTGGCTGTCCTTAGAAACCCCATTAAGAACGCCTTTCTTCCGATCTTCCGGTGTCAATCTCGTCCTTTTATTATCTCCCAAATTACTCGATCCAAATGTTTGGAAGAAATTCGCATATGCCTTTGCAAATCATTTCACTCTCCCAACATTCTGGCTTGGGACGTTCATTCCACTCGGATAAATCAATCTCAATTAATGCAAAGCTCAGGTTCGAATCGCACCGAAATCAATTCTGCTTCCGTCTACAAACAATTCGAATTCTTTTTGGCCTAATAAATTTAAAAATTCATCTTCCTTATTCCAGTCATTGTGTTTTGATCAGTTGGTTCTCCGATCATCCGTAAGCATACAGTTTTTAAATTTTCAAAGAGTAAATGAGAAAGCTTTACACCTGATGAAAATAGGAAAACCGAACGACCAAAATGCTGAAAACGTGGCAATAAGTAAGATACATGCCCGAAGAATTAATCGAATAATATTGAACTGAACTGAATTAGTCGATAGTCTATTAACTCATATAATTAGGATCCTTAATTTCTTCTTTAAGATAGTCAGCGTTGGTGCGTTCACAACA